AGCCCATTAATACATAGGTAAGAGAATACTTCCGTAATTAACTACTTATTTTTGTAAACGAAGCTTATGAAAATTGCAAGACCATTATCGCTACTGTTATTATTATTGATCATTCTGTATGCGGGTTACCAGTTCGGGCGCAACAGTAACAAACCGGAAGGGAATGTTCAATTAATAGAAAACTATTCCTTTGTCCGCGAAATTGCAGAGCTGGCTTCGCTGGAAGCCAATGGCGTCAGTACCTTCAAAACCACGAACCTTACCAACGATGGCAGCTGGACAGATGCGCTGCGTAAAAAGTTCCTGGAGAATACCGTACAGATATCCGTGCCTTATACGGCAAAGTATGGTGTAGATCTGAAGGATAGCGCGATGCGCATTGTGCGTAAAGATTCGATCGTAGAAATACACTTGCCCCAGCCCAGGTTGCTGAGCTATGAGCTGCGCCTGGACCGTATGGAAACCACCAACCGGAGCGGCTGGCTTTTATCGCCGAGTGACGAGCGCTATACGGAGCTACAAAAAAAACTGTATACCCAGAGCCGGGCCCAGCTGGAAGCCAATAGCCTGTACCTGATCGACAGCAGGCAACGTATCTGCACGATACTGGAGCAATATTTTCTGACCCTTAAATTAAAGTCCGTTTGTATTTTTGACATGCCCTCGCCGGTTATTGACCGGCCGAAGGGCTAAAAAATGAAATTGTGTTGCAGCTAAGTTTTGGTAGTGGTTTACTGGAAGCCGGATGTGATGAGGCGGGGCGTGGATGCCTTGCCGGGCCTGTCTTTGCGGCAGCAGTTATCTTACCGGATCATTTTTACCATCCCCAGCTCAACGACAGCAAACAGGTAACCGAAGCCAACAGGAATGAATTGCGGGCCTATATCGAGGCCCATGCCATTGCCTGGTCGGTAAGCAGTATAGATCATAAAGAGATTGACCGGATCAATATTCTCAAAGCTTCTTTTAAGGCAATGCACAAGGCGGTCAAAGCATTACATACCCAGCCATCCCTGCTCCTGATCGATGGCAACCGGTTTATCCCGTACCGGGGCATAAAACATGAATGCATTGTGAAAGGAGACTCCCTGTTTATGCCGATTGCTGCTGCCAGCATCCTGGCCAAAACTCACCGGGATGAGTACATGCAACGCCTGCATGAAGAATACCCTTATTACAAATGGAATGAAAATAAGGGTTATGGCACCCGCTACCACAGGCAGCAGATCGTGGATAAAGGGACCAGCCCTTACCATCGCAAATCGTTTAGCATGGGTACAGAAGGATTGCTCTTCCCGGAGCACAAGCTGTAAATAAAAAAGCAGTACACTCCTTGTAAAGAGCGTACTGCAGGCCATTTTCGTTGTTTTAGTTTGGGGCGTAGCCTTAATCAATATTTACATAAGCAACCTTCGCAAATTCCTTGATAAAGGCATATTTCTTGCCATTAATCGTTTGTACGGTGTAGCGGAACGGATCTACTTCTACAATGGCCGTATTGTCGGTTACCGCAGGGAGAGACGATAGGTCTGCAGCGGTGATGTTTGCGGTACGTGTATTGGCTGCATAATGTTTTAATACAGATTGATTGCCGACAGCGATCAGTACATACACCGAATCTGCATTGGACGTAAACGCAGAGATATCAATATTTACGCCGGCACTCCTGGTGATCTTTGAAGGAAGTTCTCCACTATAAACGGGAAAGGTTGCATTGTCGTTATACGTAAAACCGGTAATGCCGTTAGCCCCGGCAACACTCCAGTTTGAAGTGTTGTTCATGCCCAGATCGTCAGGCGTCTGGCCGATGGTTGCAAATTTGAAGTAGGAATTATTACTCTGCTTTTCCAGGCTGTTGTTGTTGACACTGATAGCGCCTGCATCTACGAGGTTGCTGTTGCTGCCATTGTTGAACATCGTGGCCAGGCCAATCTGCGCTGTAACCGGTATGGAGGGGATGCCCGGGTAGCTATACGTATAGTTGAGCTTCAGGCTTACCAGCGCGCCATCTACATTGCCAACAACAGGTGTTTGGGGGTTTGGTTGTGTATTGTTAGGGCTTGGATCATCGGTCTTCTTGCAGGATACGATAAACATGCTGCAGGCAGCAAGGCTAAGGGCAAGCATAAACGTAGTGCGTTTCATAAGTGGTAAAATTTAGTGGTGAAGGATAATTTTCTATAGGCAAAACTATCCCAGAGACCATCACTAAAAATTACCGTGATATTGGTATTTATATAAACGCGCTATTATTAATAAGCAGGGGTTAGCTTACCAGCTTGCAGATAATACCTGGCTCAACTCCTGGCAAAGGTCTTTGAACGAATTTTGCTTTACCATGTAATGAGCAGCACCCAGGGCGGAGGTCCGTTCTTTGTGTTCATGAGCGCCGGATGTTGAGTAGATAATAACAGGTATATCACTCAGTCGCTTGCTCTCTTTTACTTTAGAAAGAAACTCAATGCCATTGAGGCGGGGCATATTCAGATCCAGAAAAATTAAATCGGGCGGAGGTTGTGTGGTGTGTAAGGTTTTTAAGGCATCATAGCCATCGTTGGCGCTATAAAGCCGAATGCTTTCATCCACAGAAGTGAGTGCTTCCGAGAAAAGAAACAATTCATCCTGATCATCATCTACCAGTAAAACACAACGCGACTGCACCATAGGAAATCAAGCCATTAATAGCCTGCCACTAACTAAGATAAACTAAAAAATCTAGAAATCATTCAATTTTTATAGAAAATTATCTACATCAATAACTGGAAGACTTTTTAAAATGAAAAATGCCGGCTTCAACAGCCGGCATTTTTATAAATTAAAGTTGTAAGAATTACTGACGGGTAAAGCGGCGTGTTGCTACCACCTGGCCATTTGCATTCATCAGGCGAAGGAAATAGACACCGGATGGTACATTTTCAAGATCCAGTTTGGCGC